TTTCAATGCAGGAGTAATGATTACGAGAGACCAAACAAGACAAAATTCAGAGTATATATACTCAGCTTCAGGATCCATAATGGTTGATAACTTTGATATATGCAAGTTGAAGCAAATGTTTCATTATGGTGTTATCATAGGCTAGTATGTCCACCAGCTTAGGAAAACTTAATTATAGGCACACACACACACTGATCACCAGAAATCCTGGCCAAGAAATCCGATACTGTCCAGCTGAATACCCACAAATCGCGTGTCGATTGAAACTAAACTGAAAGAACGAGAATCTAACAAGTTCAGCTCACGATTGGAATCTCCGAACGGCACAATAATCAATATACCAAGTCATAGATATACATAGATAAAAGGGGAATATCTCAATCCAAATTCAGCGCAGCCGGTGTCCTATGAGGCTGCCCCTGGCTACTCTTTGATGTTTTGCTGAACATAAAATCAACTCCAAATCCGCATAGGTGCAAAGGCTCGAAGGTACGATCTTTCTAGAGTAGACTAGACTAGGGATCCCACCAAAGCACGCGGCCTCTGATCGCACGGAACGGAAGGCACCAACCAACCAAACCCATCTCGTCTCAAGAAAGAAACGAGACGGCGGAACCGGACAGAGCAACCACTCACCTCCGGGTTAGCGAGGAGCCCCTGCTCCAGGGTGGGGTCGCCGGCCTCTGCCATGGTGGAACGGCGAGCCTCCGGTCCGATCGGCGCGCGGGAGAGAACGGCGGGTTGGGGCTGGGATACTCTGCTCGGAAGCCGAATATATGGAGGGAGGGAAACTTGTAGATCTGGATACGTAGGGTCCAAAGTCCAACCGGAAACAGTGAAGGGCACGGCACCAGCACCGGCACCGGCTAGTCTTCGGGGAGGGAGAAGGAATCTGGAGTCAGAGTGGTGGTTGGAGTTCTTGGGGCCTGGGGAGAAGGACGACCGACTGGAACGAGGAGCACACGAGAGAGGATAAGCAAGCAAGCAAGGGGACGAAGGAAGGGATCAGTGCCACTTGCGTGTCTCGGTTATGTTTAAGGATTCATTAAGATATATACTACCATCACCTTATTTGATTCATCAGATTCACCAAAGTAGGAGTAGTTGCATTTGTGAGTCCCACTTCGATGCTCCGTCGGTTGGAACGGCAATGTCAAAGCTCTCACTACTGATCCTCGTATCTAAAGTTTACCCTATGTGTAAGCAACTACTCCCTCCCACTCATAATATAAGAATGTTTTTTATGCTTGTATTACTGTTATGAGACAGAGTGTAGGGTAAAAAATGCAGTGTAGTGTAAAAAACATAGCGTAAAAAACATTCTTATATTATGAGACAAGGAGGGAGTACACACTAAGCATGTATTTTTGTAATCACTGTTTGCATTTTTTGTTTTTATTATTAGTGTCATTTTCTAGCTACCAGAGAACTCACTCATATGACAAGACACACAGCTTCAGATGCATTGATCGTCCACAATTAAGGCCAATAACCCTTCGTTCCTGCCCATCTAGGGTTTCCTTGCTTCTCGCCGGCGCCGCCGGTCCGCCTCATCTCCTATGGTCCTTGAACCATGGAGGCACGATGGATCCCGGCCCTTGCCGGTGGGAGGGCTCCGTTTTTAGACGCTTTTCTGAGTTTTGTTAGGGTTTGTGTCATGCTCAAGAAGACGAGGCGGCGGCGGCTTCTTGAAGATGGAATAAGGTCCTCTCCATCTAGCCCCCGTCCCGGTGATGTTTCAAGCATCGTCGAATGGCGTGTGGAGGTTTGTCTCCGACGGATCTCGTGGGATCCGGTCGGCGTTTGTCTTCGGTGGATCCGACTAGATCCGGTTTTCGTTCGTCTATGTTTGTGTGTCTGCAGGTTGGATCCTTCCGGTCTATGCTTCTCTTCGTCGGCGGCGGTTGTTGTTTTGGTGCGCTGGTCCTATGGGGCCTTAGCACGACGACTTCCCGACTGTCTACTACAATAATATTTGTCCGGCTCCGACAAGGGAGGGGCGATGACGGCGGTGCGCCTTCGGCTCGCTCCAGTGCTTGTAGTCGTCGTTAGGTGGTCTACGGACCTGGATGTAAGTTTTACTTCTAGTGTTCTTTGTACTACATTGAAAGTTGATGAATAGATTGGAAGTTTTCTCGAAAAAAAGACAAGACACACAACTTTGATCAGCACACGACATAAATCAGGCTCTCTTGTAAGAAGCTCCGGTAAAAAAACTCACCGTAAAAGTGATTTTACGGGCTATATGCTGCCCGTAAAATTTAGGGGAAGTTGATAGGTGGGGTGTTTTCACAATTGTTGTAAAAACTTCTCCTAAAGGTGGTTTTTGGCGGTGGCACGACAATGACGGCGAACTCTGGCGGCGGCTGATGATAACCCATAATTATAGGGGATCGCAACAGTTTTCGAGGATAGAGTATTCAACCCAAATTTATTGATTTGACACAAGGGGAGCCAAAGAATATTCTCAAGTATTAGCAGCTGAGTTGTCAATTCAACCACACCTGGATAACTTAATATTTGCAGCAAAGTATTTAGTAGCAAGGTAATATGATAGTAGTGGTAACGGTGGCAAAAGTAACGGTAGCAGTTTTGGTTTTATAGTGATTGTAATAGTAGCAACGAAAAAGTAAATAAGCGAAGATCAATGTATGAAAAGCTCGTAGGCATTGGATCAGTGATGGATGATTATGTCGGATGCAATCAATCATGCAATAGTTATAACATAGGGTGACACAGAACTAGTTCCAGTTCATCAATGTAATGTAGGCATGTATTCCGAATATAGTCATACATGCTTATGGAAAAGAACTTGCATGACATCTTTTGTCCTACCCTCCCGTGGCAGCGGGGTTCTATTGGAAACTAAGGGATATTAATGCCTCCTTTTAATAGAGTACCGGACCAAAGCATTAACACTTAGTGAATACATGAACTCCTCAAACTACGGTCATGAAGGAAATATGCCCTAGAGGCAATAATAAAGTTATTATTTATTTCCTTATAATCATGATAAAGGTTTATTATTCATGCTAGAATTGTATTAACCGGAAACATAATACATGTGTGAATACATAGACAAACAAAGTGTCACTAGTATGCCTCTACTTGACTAGCTCGTTAATCAAAGATGGTTATGTTTCCTAACCATGAACAATGAGTTGTTATTTGATTAACGGGATCACATCATTAAGAGAATGATCTGATTGACATGACCCATTCCATTAGCTTAGCAACCGATCGTTTAGTATGTTGCTATTGCTTTCTTCATGACTTATACATGTTCCTGTAACTATGAGATTATGCAACTCCCGTTTACCGGAGGAACACTTTGGGTACTACCAAACGTCACAACGTAACTGGGTGATTATAAAGGAGTACTACAGGTGTCTCCAAAGGTACATGTTGGGTTGGCGTATTTCGAGATTAGGTTTTGTCACTCTGATTGTCGGAGAGGTATCTCTGGGCCCTCTCGGTAATGCACATCACATAAGCCTTGCAAGCATTGCAACTAATGAGTTAGTTGCGGGATGATGTATTACAGAACGAGTAAAGAGACTTGCCGGTAACAAGATTGAACTAGGTATTGGATACCGACGATCGAATCTCGGGCAAGTAACATACCGATGACAAAGGGAACAACGTATGTTGTTATGCGGTCTGACCGATAAAAATCTTCGTAGAATATGTAGGAGCCAATATGGGCATCCAGGTCCCGCTATTGGTTATTGACCGGAGACGTGTCTCGGTCATGTCTACATTGTTCTCGAACCCGTAGGGTCCTCACGCTTAAGGTTACGATGACAGTTATATTATGAGTTTATGCATTTTGATGTACTGAAGGTTGTTCGGAGTCCCGGATGTGATCACGGACATGACGAGGAGTCTCGAAATGGTCGAGACATAAAGATTGATATATTGGAAGCCTATATTTGGACATCGGAAGTGTTCCGGGTGAAATCGGGATTTTACCGGAGTACCGAGAGGGTTACCGGAACCCCCCGGGAGCTAAATGGGCCATGATGGGCCTTAGTGGAAAAGAGAAGAGGCAGCCCTACATTGGCTGTGCGCCTCCCCCTTCCCCTAGTCCTATTAGGACTAGGAGAGGTGGCCGGCCCCCTCTCTCTCTTTTCCCCCTCCGCGAATCCTATTCCAAC